GCATTCCTGACTGTCCTTTTGGGCCACATTTGGATGATCTTGCACATTGTGGGTCTTTCCAGTTCAACAGCTGATCCATTCTAAAATTAGTGAAAACACTTTTGGCACATCATCTTGGGAAAACTGGAACCTTAAAAAAGAGGCAGCAATAAAGGAGGAACAACGGAAGCTTATTCTCTGTGTAATACATATGCACAGGTTCAAGTACTTACACATTTGTGTAGAGATTAAAGAACCTGCCAATAATCCAATTACCAACATATCCCAGCACAAAAACTAACTCTCAGTTCTCATCCTTCCAGCCCAATGTGATGTTGATACTAAACCTGCATGTCTGTCTATCATTTTTCAAAACATGGCAGTCGCCTACTGAAAAAACAAACACATACACACAAAACTTCCCTTTTCATCACAGGGCAAGATCTATACTTATCACAATAGCAGGAAAAAAATGGCAGCAGTAGAAAGAGAACACACCCCGATACAGGAAGGGATCAAAAAACATAAAGGTCTGGGAGAGGGACGGGGGATACTGTAGCAAACAAGAAAACAGTCAGGCAAGAGGAAGGGGGTCTCACAGTGCTTGTAATGAGGGAGTGAAGAAAAAAAAATAGGAAAAATCATCATCCCTAATATGAACATAATGGTAAAACTTTTCTAAGATACCTATCAGTTGCAAAGCTATGTCACGTTTGGAACACATAGCATTGAATTTAACAAAAGACAGAGATAGTAATTAAGTAGTTTGATCTGCTATATGTCCATTCTTTTGGATGTCTTCCCCCTCAGCACTTTTTTTCCTCCTATCTAAAGGTTTAGTACAGGCAGAAAATAAGGAATTTAGCTGTTTGTTGAGAATTTCCTCATACATGGCCCCTGAACCATGAGTCAGAAATACAGGATGTGCTAGACCTTCTATGCATTTACTGAGCAATTAGACATGCAAGTAAAAATTCAATTGCATCCAGTACACATTATTCATTCTGCATATACGCAGGTGGTCTCAAACATTGAAGCATATTGCATTTAATACACACTCGCCCACGCTTTTCTCCAATATCTACATCTAGAGGTGCAAAGCCTTAAACATACTACAGGGCTGAACTGAAGTTACAGTCACTGAGTGCTGTGGAAACTGCATGGATATTTTTGTTGTAGATAAGTTTAAGATAAATTTGGGAAATTCACTTAAAACACTCTGCAGTTTGCATCTGAAATATAAAAGTCAAAATATTTAGAAATGTGTTAAGTGGCACATAGACCCCTAGCTTTCACGCTGCAACCATGGCTCAACACAGATACCTGTATTCAAAAGCAAGGCAATCTGTGTTTCCATTTCCAGAGATTTAAAGTGAGGATATCTACCTCAGAAATGTAATAAAACTCCTGTATGCTGTGTACAGGCAAAACCCAAAGTACTCTGGTAAAGGGGGATATTTATTGCCAACGTTACCTAGTAAACATGCAAAACAAAAGAGACAGCATTTGATGTTATTCTAGGAAGCACAATATTTTGACTATTGCAGTTTAGCACAAGGATTATATTTCTCAAATAAGATGACAGCATTAAAAAAATTTGTTTGAATAAAATATATAGTTTAATTAGTTTTGTGTTAGCTACATCTAAATCACAATTGATATTAAGTTAATCTGTATTACAAATCTGTACAGTCTGATGCAACAACAGTACGAAACCTTTACATATTCATTATGATACATGAAAATACTAAGTCATACAGAATTCAAGTAAACACCACATGAAGAAAAAGAATTCCAAATATACACATACACATACTCACCCAGTGTGCAGTAGGATAAGTCTAACAATCCACACCATTTCATATGACCAAAATGAAATTAATCTATTTGGGAACAGGATCACTCTAGCTTGTCAATATTTATAATGCTATAGTCCACACACACAACACAGTCATCATAACATTTTAGATTGTTTGCAGGAAAATTATTCCCAAAGTGAAACTATAGATCTCAATTCACTATCACAATGCATGACTAAGGATGCTTTTCTGACATTAAAATAATGATGCCATCTTAATATTTTCCGGAAGAGAATTCTATAGTATTTATAGGATTTTTTCATTCTGTATTTGGCAACTGCTCAGTACTCATATTTTAAAAGCACTAAAATCTTAAAACTTGCTTCATAAAACAGTTAATTCAACTATAAGACCTCAACCTAGTAATACTTAAAGAATTCCAAAACATCAGAAATTCAAGCAGATTTTTCTAAAAGTATCTTACAAAATAAAAATAGAAAACCATTCAACAACACTTCTTAAATATTTGAATGGTACTATTACTAAACATGGGACTTCTTCAAAACCTAATTTTTGTTACTAGCCAACATCTAGATATCATAGGAGCATGCCTAGTGAAAAAAAAGGTTTGACAAACAGAAATTCGATTTGCATATAATTCTAGTTGACACCTTTTGCTGTTATGAGGATGGGGTCTTTACAAAGTAGCAGTGCTCAACATGCGTACGCTAAGGTTAAAATCCTTTTGCCTTCCCAAGAGACAAAGCCAACAGCCCAGGCCTGTAGCCGTAATCTAGAATAAAGCAAGATGTTCCATCACAATTGCAGCACCAAGAACCTTGGAATATTCAGGACACTTTCAGTGTATATGATCCTCAGCTTCCAGGAGAAGGCACCAAAAAGCATCACTGTGTAACAAGTGCAGAAGATAAACTGAAACAATCAGTAGCCAAGAGTGCAAAGAACAAAAGAAACTGATATAGAAACTTGGAAGCCACATAGGATCTAACAAACAACAGCTGCAGCTATTGACCCACTGTCCCAAACTTTTGGGCCACAGGAGAAGGGGTGCTTTGATACTCATTGAAAGAAGGTAAGTCATTTTTGTCATTTAGCTAAGCCTCTGTTTGCATTCACAGACTTTGTCAAAGCTTTCACCTTACTCCTTTGTTTTCATATCTATGCTATAAAGATAATATTGTGATACTACTTCACAGGTGAATATGAAACATCAAATTTTTGTCTCAGCATGAAAGAATTGTGAGGTACTTTGTATACTTTCAGACAAACAGTCTTATACAGGGTGTCTGGACAGCTATTACAAAACAATTCAGCGTTTAGCTTAGCTTGATTTCTCCTGGAGGAGAAGCCAGTCATCTCCCCCCCTTACCACTGTAGAAATACACATGCACGCAACATCACTCAATTAAAATAGTTCACTAAGAAGCAGTGAATATTTGAAGCCAGCTGAAACAGTGTATAGTCTCACAGTTATATAGTATACATTAATATATTATTGTAGATGTATAAAGCTGTTCTATAAATCAAGTCTTACAGCCCCATCTTTATTCCAGAAAAAACCTACATATTTAACACAGACTATATAGCATTAACACTGTGGAAGAAAAATGCAAATTTTGCATTAACTTCAAAGCCAAGAAAGGCATTGTTAGGGCTAAGACTCCATCTCGAGTTCTAACAAACCATCATAATCTAAAGAACAAATCAACGAGCTTATCAGCTACAATTAGCTAATGTCTCCATTTCTGTTACAAAACAAACTGCTGCCCCTTTTCTAGTTGAAATTAAAAATGCACAAGAAATCATGAGAGAAAAAAAAAAAGAGAAGCTAATAAATGAATAAGTCTTTTAAGGGAAAAAAAGATTCTATTCATACATAGTCTGTCTCTTTCTTTGTAAGAAACTTATCTTCAATTTATACTTTCACTGGACCTCCCTGTATTTTCTTAGCACGTTCCACAAACATATGAATTTCATTTGGTTACTAAATTGATTTGTATTAAGTTGTGTTAATACTCCTCACATTGTCTTACCGTTAGGACAGGAGAGAAATGAGCGCATCCAGAAATTTGCTCCGGTCTTCTGTTTTCAACTCAATTACTAAAACATGAAATGTTTTATTACAAAATGCAAAGTATACTCATTCACATTCCTAATCAACTTTAGGAAAAAATTAGAGAAACTATTTATTTGAACTAAATACAAAGTACATTGTTTATTTCATTCCTAAATTTCAGCAAACTGAGTTCTAGGTGCTCACTAGATATAGTCACCACTTTTTAAATCTAGGAGGCTTTCTTTTTGTGCTCAACATGCATCTATAATAGAAGCATGCAGAGTTAAAAACTGCCTCTCTTGTGAGCACATGTGAAGACAGGCACTTTGTTGCATAAGCATCTCCTTTTTCAAACAGACAATAAAGGATGCATCTCATATCCAAGCCAAGTATATTTCAAATATAGCATTGATGCTGCTAAATATAAAAACCATCATAAATAATAGATCTTAGCTGAAATGCACTGGTCAAAATCATTACTCCATGCCAAACTGAGGTTGTCTCAAAAAGAGATATCTGAGCCTCTGTTCAGTAGTTTATATTTTCTGCACAGCAAGATTGCCATGATAACATGTATGTAGTTTGCATGTGATATTAAAGTCAGGAATAGTGTATCACATATATACACCTGATGTTTGCATCTAATACATACACAAACCCAGTATTCCGTCCACAGTCATTATGCCTTATGGAGGCTGTGTAAACACTGACCCCTAAAGGACTATTTAGTGAATGAAATAAGTGATGTAAAAGATAGCATTACTCACTTGACATGTCAAAATGGTTATGTAACGTCCTAGAATTGGTGCTCTCTGCAGCTTTCTCAAATGCTCTCCCAAAAAAGCTATGAGATGAACAGAAATACAAGTTAATCACATATTAGAAGGTACAGTTCATTAAATTAGGAGATTAGCTATTTTTCAAATATTTCATCTGAGAAAAGATTTTTCTTCCCAACATACATCATCTGAACTACATATGGTCTCCTACAAACACATAGCATCTGCACAGAGCGCATAAAGGCCACTTGTCTAAAGCGCTTTATGCAAATAAGATTATCCTTCCTAATTTAACTTAAATTAAATATTCAATACTACAATGCTTTTCACATAACTACCTACAAGTTCTGTAAAATATGACCAAATGCAACGCAGACTGAGAAAAGTCAGGGCTTCAGTTATAAAAAGGTTAAGTTTATTTTTGTAGAAGGATAAATATGAGTATTACAGACAAAAGATATATTGTCCTAAGGCAGAAGTATGAAATCTTATCCTCGCTGCGATCTGAAAATGACTTTCAGATGTTTTTCATGTGCCATACATTCAACATACACCTCACTTCGTTCAAACGCAAAAATCTTAAGGTTGCAGGCTTTAAGAAATGAAGTTATGGGCCACATATTGAAGTATATCCCTCTTACAAAAAAAAAAAAAAAAAGAAGAAGAAATAGTTGAGAGGGGAAAATAAGTAAAAGGAAGCTGAGCAACATCTTCTCTCAAAATAGCTCATGCAGACCATATGCAAAATACATGTTTTTAAAGATACAAGTCAAGTCAACATATTCCGTAGTAATTACAGGTAAGATATATTTCTTTGGGAGAGAGAAAAAACCTACAGATAATATTTAGAAAGAACATTTAAACAACATCCTTACTTCTTTTTGTCAGAGCTTTCCGTCTCCGGAGGAATCCCCACCATGATCACAGTTCCCTGTTCAACATCCATTGGTGCAGCCATTACCAGTGGCAGCAATTTACAGCGCTTATTTTTTGTCTGGAAGTCAGAAAGTCTTTGTTAGACAAAACCCAAGAAACAATCTAGTGTTGGGTCCATATGTGACCTAGTATTACAAATATTCACATAAGGAAATACCTATAACTGAGACCAACAGAAAATGATTTCTTTACGTAATCTCTTAACCCCCTTATTTGAACTAAGTCACTGTAAGGACTAATAGAAATTTCATTCTTCACTAATTTGCATTTCATTTTAACATGGAAATGATACAGAGAGGCAAGATATAATTTACAGCAAAGAAAAACAAACTCACTTAAAGGAACAGTATGTATGGGTATCTAAAAACATGGACTCGGCACAAGGTTTGCAAAAATCATTTTACAGTGAAATACAACAAACAAAACTGACAGACGCAGTAGTCTTTACTGCACATCATTTTCCCTTGACATATTGTTTTATAGCAGTAAGCTGTAACTTTACAGAAATTTGTGATTTAGTTAAATCACAGAATAATTATGAAGATATTTTAAACATGTTTTAGTAAATGAAATAAAAGTTTGTTTAAAGTGTTCTGTTCTTCAGGTAGATGTCTTGTCATCAGTTTTAAAATGCTGTTCTGCTCCTAAGGCCAAGCTAGTTATTCATAATGCCCTCTAGCTTTCAAAATGAGGACTGACATATGCATCTAATGAGGATGGACTACAAAAGTTGCATTTATAAATTAGAAGTGCTGACTGTGAAAAAGAGTTCTTAATTTCAAAATCTCATTTTCTATCCGAATTGTGTTACTAATTTATATGGTTCAAACAGTAATTAATGTAACTGAAATTAAAAAAATCTCTAATCTTGACAAATGCAATTCATTTAACTAAATAGAGAAGTTTTCAGATAACAATAACCAGTCCTGGTTATTTTCCATGTCAGTTTAACTTTTCTAAATACCTGTTTTGTGATATGCTCCCTCAAATTTTACAAAATTACACAAGGATCCTAGACTGTCAGCATCTTGGTAATGAAAACTTTCTAGTGCTAGGAAGTTTTCCAGACAGATATTTTTCCTAGAGTTGTATTCACAGAGGTACTAAAATTATCCAATCAGTTAACTGTAAAACATCAATATCTTCATATAATGCTTTAATAATCAATTCCAAGTATTCAACAAAACAACAACTATTATACATCCCAAAAGCAAGCTAGTTAGAAGCTTCCAATTTACTTACAGAACAAACAAAGGATTTGAGTAAGTATTTACTGAGCAGGCACAGAGACACTGGTTTGGAAAACAGTTTCACATCGGGTGTGCCCTGGGAAAAGAAGAATTATTTCAGCGACAACCAAATTCTTCCACTCACTCATTTAATCTTAAGATCAGCTGGCATGTCTAAAAGTTTTGTGTCACTCAAAGAACACTAACACGAACCATTACAATAAAGGAATTAGATCTCACCAGTTGGGCTTGATATGAAGCCCTCCCTTTAACAGAACTGATTCTTCCTTTGAGAAGTTGAGAGCAGGTATCAACAATGACCCATCAGAGAACATACAGCATAGAAAAATAAGTTCTTTCTGAATTCCTGATGGAGTCATTCTTATTGAGCCAAGTAGTTCGGAAAATAGCGTTATAGAACAGTACGTTAAATGTGAGAAAGCCAAAAATTAGGACTCTGACCTCCATAAGAGAACAATAAAGGAAAGGCCCCTGAGAAATTACAAGGTTGGTACAAATACAGCTGGCTACTGTCTGCTGAATGGCACGTAACTGCTTTTTGGCCAGGTCCAGTCCTTGGTGCAGTTTGTCCAGGTTACCCCTACAAAAAAATGGAAGAAAAGAACAGTTTTACACAAAGCTTTTCACAAAAAAACCTGAGCATTAGCGGGTAATAATAGGTATCCCTGTTATTCATAGGGGTATTTTCTTTGACTTTGCTTCAGCGGCTTATAAAGCATCAACTCATCTTTTAGATATGCAACCCATGTTCTGAAAACAACAACAAAACAAAAAACACCACCACACACAACCAATCACAAAGAGATATTTTCAGTACCTGGAGAGACTGTCCAAAGCTTTAATGAAGTTATCGGTTTCAGGCCCCTCTTTCTCTATATTCTCCATGAGGGAAGCTGTTGCATAAACTATATCACTTGCTAAGAACTTATTCTTAAAGCCAAAGTGAATGCTGAAGGTCTGAACTCTTAAATCCTTCATTCTGCAAAATGAGATAAGACCAGTGAAGATATATTAACACTGACGACCCATTTCCCTGGTACGTTAACGTTAATCTTTCAATCAAGATGTGACACACTCTCCATACATAAAATTTTAACTTAATTGAAAAATATTTTCAGATAAAACATTTGTTTTTAAAACAATTTACCCAAACTTGTTTGCAGATTCTTCAATCATTTCCCGAAGATTTTCTTTTAAAGAAATGTCCATTGAATTAAACTTCTGTTTCACTTGCTTCAAAGGCAAACTAAAAATACAAGGGAGAAAAAAAAAAAAGAGAAATCACTGATGGGTATGCTAGAGCAGACTTAAATATTTTGCCTTCCTCTCATAGGGCATTCTTAATTAGATAAGTTAGCAAGTTAAGCTTGACTAAGCTTTTTTGGCATTCTGCTTCTTTAATTATCGAGGAGAGAATGGGAGAAAGCACAGGTTACTTACTAATCTTCTATTCAATAAATACAAACAGTTGAAATACTCCTTCATATAGCAACCCACAAGTTCCGGTACTCAACTCAGAGATTCCACAACCTGCTCAAATCCCCATGATCATATTTAAAAAGTGTGTTGAGTACTTGTCAGCTTAAAAGATCCTTGCTGTGTTCTGAATATTTTTCTATAATTCATTGCCAAAATGATTCTTTAATTGAGAACAAGATTTTTATAACTCACCCCATGTCAGCCAAGAACTCCTGGAGCCTCTTCTGCCCTTGTACAGACCAAAGTTTGAGGCTAGCAGAGGTATAAGAAGTATTACAGAGACTTTCATACAGAGACCAGTGCTGGTAAAGTGCCAGGCGCAGGCTGAACATTAGCAGGAATTAGGGAAAATAATTACAAACATACGTATTCTTTGAAGCTAGAAATAGTAACAAAACTCAATATCCAGTAGGTAAGTCTTAAATGCCCTGATACAGTCCATCTCTATACTCCAGGAAGATGCAGTCCGAAGCAGTAGGTGCGCATAACACAACACAATCAAAACTGACTCATCTAACGCTGAAAGATTAAGTTGAACTGAAGTTACATGAAAAGCTGAATAGTTTGTGGAACATGAATCTTAGTTCCAAATTTCCATTTCTTCTCATTCAGTTCTCAGCAGGAGAGAAGCTTGAGATTTTTCCCCCTAGATTCAAACTTAACTGTGGTTCATCAAGTGGGTGGAGTTTGCTTCCCCTAGATCTTACGTAAGGATACTCATATTCAAATGCTATTCGCATGCAGTCAATTGACAGAGAATTGTCTTCATCCTCATTGCGGTGGTTATGGCGAGATACATGACGCTGTAGTATCCCAATATCGGTCACATACTTCATCCTTAAACAAAAACAAGTTTGTCACTTCAATTTCTTCCCATGCATTTTTGTACTTAATTATAGGAATACAGAAATGCTTCTCAAAGGGTACAAATTGGCCAGTCAACAGCATAAAAACTGCAGATACATTAAATAAATATATATATATTTTAAATAATGTTATTTCAATACTTAGCCACATACCCAAACACTTAAAGATAAAATAATACCAGCACAGAGGGACAGCCAAAAGACAGATGAAAATAGTCACTTGTTGCATTTATCTTCATAAAGACATCAACATACTATTAGTAACAGAACACCATAAATAAGGTCTACATACATACTAACAAAATTCTAATGATATCTAGTAGGAGATGAGTATACATGGAAGAAAAAAAAAGGAAGGGAGGAGAAGAAAACTTGTAAAGTAAAATAAGAAGGGAAGCCTGAGTGCACAGAAAGTACAGAAGTTTCTCCTTTAATGAAGTTATATCAAGGTGATATTTAGGTCAACTACAATTAAACACCATTTCTTACAGGATCAGAAGTGATTGCTTTACAATTTCGTGGAAAATAAAGTAATTTAAATATTCTAAATAATAAAAGAGGAAATATAGTTTTTCTGACAAATATTCTAAATATACCTTTTGTAAGGTATAAAATTACATGTATTTATTAAGACATTAAATGTCATTGTTTATTAATTACTTTACGTTGTATTAATTAGTCTGTTTCCTGATTTCTATTAACTACTATTAGTTACTCCTTCAAAAAAAAAAAATCCTTACTGAGTGATTTTATCCTGGACCCATTGATCTGTTAAGCCAACAATAGCCCACCTAAAATTGGGGAGGGAATAAAAAAGGTGAAGTAAAATATATTCCAGTACAGCATATTATATTTCACCCTGTAATATGTAAAGGAACAAGTTAGAAACACATTTCAAAATCTGCATGCAAGAGAGCTTAGTAACAAACGTATATGCTACTATTTCCTGTCTCTAGCAGCTATATACATATAGTACCATCCTCCCTTTCTCCGCCCAAAATGTACCAGTTCCTTGGAGCCAATTTATGTAGATGTGAATGTATCTTACTCCAATATGCATGAATATATATGTCCACACAGAAAATAAACTGGAAGCTCAAATTGAAACCAAATAGTTTTGGGAAATTTTGACTCTTTTTACTATGGAACTAAGCTGATGGCTTCTACGAATAGTGATCATAGACACATACCACAACATGTCATTCAAGTCTTTAGACATTATCCATGCCAGATCAAACATCATCATTGCAGACTGCATGAGGGAAAAGAGAGGATAAATGAACACAAATCTCTCACTTCAATGAAACAAGCAGAAAACATTTAAATTTGCAAGTACTAGCATGCTATTTAAAGCCTTAGAAATCACACTTCCGTCTGTCAACCTGCCAACGCCCTGCTTGCTAAGACACTATGTAGAGTGAGAAAATATACAGCTTCACAAACCTGCTTTAATATATAAAGCAGCACTCAAAGCATAAAAATAATAAGACAAGAGGCCAAATGAAAGAAGGAGCAGTTTGGTGTCCTGAGTATTACGTTTGAAATACCTAGATAGTTTGAAAACAAAGAAAGGCAAATAAGCTTCCCATATCTCAAAGTATTCTTGAGAAAGCATCTCACACAGAGAGGTACTTCTGCCAAGACCTAAAACAAATATATTACAACCAATTCTTCGATATCAACATTAACGATTACATGATAACAAAAATGCTAATAGTTCTGGTTTATCCATTTACCCATTGATCACACTATTTCACCCACCGTCAGTCAGTTGGCTGTAGTTTCCTAGTCTACTAGTATCAGTTTTACAACATACCTAATCCCCCAGAGTTAAAATCAGATATACATAACCAAAATACACTTAAAGGACATAAAGCAAAGTACTCAGTATATTTCATCAGATTGGATAATATTATAATATATAGTATTATTATAAAATTATAACATTGGATATTATCCAGTTACCTCTATCTTGGTATCTAGTGTTTTTATGGCAAACAAGTCCATACTTACTGAGGTCCCATGATATTCATATTGTTCATAATCAAAAAGAATTTCTTGCCTAAAAGGGGGGGAAAAAAATCCACACGCACATTTGACTAACTGGCAAGCTAATCATTGGTTCTGGTTCAAAATATAAACCTAGAAGTATGAAACAACATTTTAATTTCATGTTAGCAATAACAAAAAATTAAATTTGGGCTAGAAAATGCTTATTTTAATGTAGACACAAAGTATTAAAACCTCAGTTCCTCAAAGTCCATTTTCTTATCTGATTTGTTCCTGCTCATTCCCATCAACAATTACAGTATTGCAAAGGAAGAAAACAGAAGCAGGAGCTGCACCCTAAGACGGACAAGACAATAACGCTACAGCTGCTTAACGGTCAAGGACTGCACATACCGCTACTCAAGTCTATAAATGTTTACAACTATGCTCCATTTAAAGTTGTTATTTGAATATATATAATAAATACCCCCCTCTTCTTTCTGAATAAAGTTACAACTAAAACATCTTGCAACTCAAACATCATAATACCATGTTTTTGTATTCTCAATAAGGTTTCCCTCAGAGAACAGGCAGAGATACATGCAACACAAAAAAACAAAACAAAACACTTAAACATACCTGCGCGCCTCCCATTCTCGCTTCTGCCGCCTTTTCATTGTTCTCTCTATTACATCCTGCAAATTGAATTAAATGTTAAAAAGGTACAGAAACTACTCTAGCAAGTTACACATTAAAATAACTAAACCGGTGCTAAGTCTTCATTAAAAAGACTTAAAAGAAGAATTAGATATTGTTAATAGGAATAACAGGAAAAGTATTATTATCAAGTGTTTCCTGAGGAACACGTTTTAATATAGTCATGGCATCTTTCTCTGCTAGTGTTTATTTAGCTCATCTTCACAAGTAAAACGCCTAGCATACAGTATTTTCAACGAAACAACATGCATTATACCATCTTACAGTATATAAACGAAGCTGATGAAAAATTAAAATTAGATGATTAATCAAGATCAGGAAAAAGGCAGCACTCTTCACTGTTTATTCCATCTCAAAAAAACAGCATCAGCAGCTTGAAAACTCCAAGAAATCAGAAAGACCTCTATAAAATATTTAATGGATTTAAAAATGGCTTTTGTATATGCTATTTAAGGATGTTACTTTGAATTTCTGAAATTAGTTTGTCCAGAGTAAATACTCTTCGCAAATTGGTAGAAAAAACAATTATAAAGTTAATAGAAAAATAATATGAAATATGTATTACATTTGAGAATGTCGTCACATTTAACTGGCTCTTAATATTGCCAGACTCATGTCTTTGCTTCCTTGCATGCGATAGAAACAGAAAATATGCTACAAATAATACATGCCAAATTAATTTTTTTTAAGTTATTTTTAAATTATTTTTTAAAAATTATTAGCCATAATATATATACACTTTTGTTAGTGCATTCCTAAAAGGAGAGCCAAAAATGCACTGCTAAATTATTTGTGAGTTTCTATCTTCTCAAGCAATAACTTTTTTTAAAGTTTTTAGAAAATAAAATTTTTCGCCAGATTGAAGAGTCCAGTGCACATAATCAGAGATATAATCTCTTCAGTTCACTGATTATAAAACAGACAGTATTATGTATGATAAATTTTTAACATAAAATATGTTTTGATAAGGAGAAAATATTTATGAGCAGTGCAAATAAACAAACATTTTCTGCATGGGAAACACCAGAGGTCATAATTTTGTTAAATTATTGGCTTACATTTGAATTTGTGTTCTAATGGACTATCTTTTTTTAAATCTCAGTGTCATTATTTATCCTGATGCAAAGTACATGCATATATTATTTTCCTTTTTTTCCAAGACAAAGCTGAAGAAACAAGAAACACACCTCTTCAAATCGTCTATGCTTCTCTGAAGGTTCTGATCTATCACTTTCATTCCCAGAGTCCTCCTCTTCATCCTCTTCATCTCTGAAGATATCATCATAAGCAGGAACATCAAGATCATCATCTTGTTTAACTAATAGCTTAACCTAACAAGAAAAAGCATATTTTAAATAAAGTATGTTGTTTAGTAATGAAAAAGTATTTCAAATGATAACTATAGAGCACTTTAGACCCCTTTAAAGAAATTAAAATTTCATTTTGGCTGTGATCCATTCTTAACATAAGACAAATATAGCTCCTTATTCTAAGGGCAATAATTATTTATGACAGAACAAGAGTAAAAACTTACTCTTCTGTATCAAGAAGATTCTAGTTATAGCATTAAAAGGCATGCTGTCAAATAATTTACATCAAATAGATTAGTACTTAAATTCTAAATGTTGCTAGATGCTGAGAGATAATAAATGTTACATTTTGGAGGAAGTTATATTCTGTTTGACTTGTATTAGTATAGGATTAAGCTGTCACTATTGACACCTGTTGCACTTGCTAACAACATATTTATTACAGAAAATAGTATTATTTTCCTCATCACATACATTACTACTGTAGGCATCATTAATACTGCTTCCTTACCCACTGCTGGCCTTTTAAGCAGTTTTGCAGAAAAACACTATGCCACCCACACCACACTGAACATTCTAAGATTTTTATTATGTATGCTTTTAAAAAGCTTAGTTTACCTGTGTCTCATTGTAAACATTCACTACATTGATAGGTCTGTGGCTGTCACATACAAAAAAAAACGTGTCTTCTTCAGGCTGCAAGATCTCCAATAGGTCAACATTGGCACCACAATTAATAAGAACAAAGTACTTAAACTGCAAAAAAAAACCAAAAACAAAAAACCCACAAAAAAACAAAGTTACTTTTACTCCAGCTAGCAGGAAACATGGAAGACTGAAAACACCTTAGAAAACTTCCAAAACACTTGTTATTGTTGAAATCTGTATTTACTTCCTGATATTTGATGCCTCAAAGGAAGAACAAAATTTTGTAAGATTTCGTGCAAATTCACCAAATTCCGGGATGCTGGACATCCAATATTGCTATCTTTCACATCTCAGAACAGATGCAAAATTAATTTGACCCTATGAGAATTACCGCCCATTAGTTTGTGCAGAAAACTTGACAAGTTTGTTATTGGTGCATTTAAACTTGCCCACTGTTTTGAGGTAAAACAATACTAGTATTAGTTTAAGAGCTTACATTTTAAGAATGTAAAGAGAAAAGGGGGGAAGCGCATTTATACATTGCGGTGCATCTCATATAGCCAGTTTTCAGTACTATTTTTACCTGATCTTTATGCTCAAGATAGGCAGTTTCAAGCTCTTGCCACCCAGATACTGGGACTAGCGTATATTGTACATGATCACATTGAAATAAAGCCTGAAAAGAAACAGAGAGCTGTCAGCTAAGGGAGGAAAACATACTCTGCCACAATGCTATACATATTCCACTATGATACTTCACTATCCTATAATTCTATTTAATAGAAATCTTTATCCTTAAGACATCCCAAATGACAATTCTACATGAACTTTGGCAGTAAGACTTACCAGGAGTCAGCCTCATGACTCATGGAGAAAATGCTGTAAGTTATAAAATTAGTTTAAAGGTTCTAAATCATTCCCTCTTTCCTCAGTTCAAACCTATTAAAAGGATCCGACTGCATCATTCCTTTCACAGGTAGCCTACAACGATAACGAACAAAGACTTACTTGGAGTATTTTACAAGCACATAATGCATCAACATCTGAAGCAACGAGAAGAAGAACACGCTGCAAAAATAACAAAACAACAGTGTTAATATATTAGCGCAGGTGCCAAATCTAGTGCACTGGTAGGTATACCACTTTTAAGTTGTTCCTAAAAGCACTAGCTTCCCTATGTAAGATTTCAAGTCCTATGCAAAGATGCAATCCCAGAGAAATGCTTCACAGATCACTGTGAGAACAGAAAGGGAGGAATCTGGGGGGAGATCATTATAACCATAAAACATGATTGTTTTTGAAGGGACACTGCAACTAAAATAACTTCACCTGAAGCACTGTAAGTATTGGAACTATATTTACAATTCCATCTCACAGGAAGGTAAGCCTTACTTGTGACACGATGGTGAAATCACATTCAGAACATCAACTGCTTTGAGTAAACACGATTATTTTGACCCATATGAACAGTGTATAATTTTGAAGGGTCAAAGTTTGTCAATGCTACAACGATTTTAAAGCATATTTTAGGTAACATAAGAGATTACATATCTAGAATGGCCTCCATTTTCAACATGGTATCTGGAGCAGTTTTGACTAAGGAAAATCTGTAGCAAAAAACAGAGCAAGACAACTCCTGAAATAATCAGGTGAAAAAACTTTTTTTTTTTGGAGACCTTGCCCACAACTGGAGAATTTGAGGGAAATGCTTACATTTACACAATCCAGAGTACATTTACACAATCCAAGCTCCACTACTGTATAGTTTCATGGGTAGAAATATTAAAAGCCTGTCCAATGAAAGCTTTTTTCCAGACAAAAGCTTTACTGCTTTATTACATAGATCCACTCTGAACACAGTTAAGGAAACTGCGGGCAAAAAACCGCAAGTACCGATCAGCAGCAGCACTGCCATCACAGAAGACTGCAAGAAAAACCTCCCAGTAGACAGAAGACAAAATTTAACATGTGGGCAAACACGACAAGGATTAAAAGGACAAAAAGAAGTAGCTTTAGGAATAGCTTGGTTAAACCAAAGAGATATTTAAAGAAAAAAAAAGTCAAAAAACTGAAAAGGCGGGTTTTACGTGAAACACCTGGTGAGAGCGAGGCGCGGGCTGCAGCTGTGCTGCAGGTTTCTCCCGCTGTAAAGGCGCCCAGGAGGGACCTTCGTGCAACCGCGGCCGGGCCCCCGCGACGGCCCAGGGGACCCCGGGGACGCGGACACCAGCGAGGGGAAGGGGGAGACCCTGAGGCGCCGCGGCC